TGGCATGTCATGACAAGCTGCCCAAATTCAGAATACCAGAATGACAGGCATTCCAAACATGAAACTACTATTACAAATTACCATCTGCCGTTCAGTACCTTAGTTCACAGGAATCAGTATATATAGTTAGTCAGGGTGGGAATCTTTCCAGTTAACTGCTAGATTAAAAAATCTTCTGAATATTCTCAATTAAAAATATAAATATAAAGCAATAAATCAAGTGCCTGAACCTGTATGGAAAATCTCTTTTATGTTTCAACCCTATTGTCAAAGAATTTTATTTTAATTTCTCAGATAATCAAATTTATTATCATTTATTAAACAGTATACATATTACAATAGAGTAGCTGGATACTAATATTGATTTTATCTATTTCAATAGCTTTTGTGAATACTCATTGACTATCATTACCTGGAGTATATTATTATTATTAGAATTACATTATGATTACTCTTATACTTGACTATGATGATTCCCTTGTTGTTTATATTTCCATAACTGCCTTCCAGGAAAAAGTGTATACATTTAATGTTTCACAAGTATACAGAATTTTATTAAGTGCTTTACTTTTGCTATTACCTTGAATCATTCCAACAAATCTAAGTTAGATATCCTTATAGATTTCATTTTATGGATTAAGAATATGACTAATGGAAAGTTTTAGCAGGTTTACCAGGGCATACAGTTCAAATTTTTGAACTTCAAAACCTACATATTTAGCTACTGTGCTGTGGAAGAGGTGACAGGCTTAAAAGGTGAAAATTTTAAGTATATTAAGCATATCAAAAATTAATAACTGTATAAATTGTTCTACTTTTGGATTTTTATATTTCACTTCTAAGAAGTATAGCAGTATAGAATTCTGGTCATGTGTATACTTAGTGGGTAAAGGTCCTCTAGAAAAGTTTGAATGGTTTTGCTTTAAAAGAGTGATAGAATTTTCACATGTGCTGGTTCACTCATGTAATAGTGTTGCCTTTAAAGTAATCCCTCACCACAAACTCAGGACCTCAGGACTTTGGGTTACTTCTTATGGATAAAAATACATGCTCTGGAGCATTTGAATAACATGTACACAGTTTATCTGCTCAAGAGTACTGTTGCCAAATTTTTAAATAAGATTTTGTAACTGCACAGGACAAACAAAATTAAACAATGAATATATACATAAACTTCTCTATGTTTTTAGTGCATAAATTAAATATACATTCTGTGCCTGGATTTAGCTCACAGCTATTGGCTTTTCTTAACCATCACTGTTTTAATGTTAGTGAGATTTCCACTTTTACAAAATCTATTACCCCAAAATTATTTTTGAAATACAAATTAACATCTGTGCAAAATACACTTCACTAATTACCAGTCAGTGAACACAAGACAGTTAACTAGGAGGAATTATTTTTTTGTTTTCATCCATTTTCTTAGATTTATATCAAACATCGTGTGTAGAAGAAATGTTTAAAATATTTTACATATGCTTGATCATGGTAACTTTGAACACTTCATTTTGTAATAATAACTTTAATATACTATAACAATTGTGTGGTGAAATAAATTTTATTTAGAAAACCATATCATCCTTTACTTTTTCTTATTCATGATCTTATTTGATATATAATGGATTGTTAGACTTAAATATGAAATTTGAGTTAAGTTGATTATGAATTCCTAAATTTTTGTAATCATTGTGGTCCAATGTGTAATTTGTAGATAAAAATCAAAGCACTATGAAGAGTCGAGGCAGTTTTTTACTTCCCAACCCGGATTCTACATTATTCATGCCTGCTTCAGTAAAACTAGCACCTATTGCTGCTAACTTACACAGCGCACAATCAAAAAGAGAAAGCTTGTATGTTGGTATGTGACAAATATCTACTATACTTCTCCAAACCAGTCCATGTTGCATTCTTTTTTTTTCTTTTAATTTAAAAGTTAAGTTTCTTCAATAAAGAGATTCATGACAAAAAAAAAAAAAAAACACATGAATTTGCTATTAGTCTTAAGTAGGTCATCTGCTTCTGTAGTGTTCTCTAATGATCTGCAGCACAAGTTTTCTTAGTTCGTAGAACCCTTATCGACAGTACATTTTTATGGTCAGAAATGTGTGACAAATATTACATTTGCTAAGTTGCTTTGTAAAAAGACTTAGGAATAGAGGCTTATGTGCATCCCGATATATGTGACAGTAACATTTAATTAAAGTAACCTAAAGTTAAATGCTTTCTGGATTTTCTACATTACAGATACCCTCTGAGCACAGTTTAGAATCTGTAGAACTAGGCATTTGTTATTTCATTATCTAGGTAAATCCAAGCTTACCTGTCTTTGCATGTGGTGATCATATATAAATAAATAAATTTACTACTACTTAGAATTAAATGTTCAAGTATTACTTTACTTGCATATGTGTAATATTGTAAATTTTACTGAATTGGAGAGAAAAAATGTTTCTGAATCTGAAGCCAGATTGTCAAGACATTTTTCTTATGGGGAGTATTTTCATATGCCATTGTTGGAGAAAGTAAATAGCAGTGCTTTCCTCAGTAAAATATATGATTTTTAAAATGTATTTAAGTAGCTAAAAATAAGCATATTTTATTGTGTATTTTAGAATACAGTAATTTGGCTCAAATATTGAGATCATGGAATATTTTTTAAAGTAGATTTTAGTTTGCTTATATATAAATAGTAATAACTGGCAATATTTTACCCTATACTCAGGTAATAATTTTTTATAAACAAATGTGATTTTAATTCTAGGAATGGAAAAATTACCTGAACATTCGAAACTGAATAGAAATAGAAAACCAAGTAAAGCGGATGATGGGACTTTGGAAAATGAAAAGATTGCTCAATTCTATTTTCCTAAAGAAGGATCAATGGAATATAACTTCTATCAGAAGGTTGTATGTGCAGCTCAGACATGGTTCAGTCTCTTTGGCTGGTCTGAAGGACCTCATTTACTTTCCATTCCAGAGTCTATCAGAAGGTGAGAGTTGCATTTATTTTTTTAAATTCCTTGCTACCACTTTATTCTAAAATATAATTACATATTTGGGATGATTTTAAATAAAAAATGGTGTTAAAACACTTATTCTAAACTAATTAATTAAATGAATATTGAGAAGAGTAAAAAGATACAAATATATGGATCTTTTTAGTTTAAGTGCACTTTTAAATTTCTTCTAAACCCCATAATACTAGACAAGCATTGAAAATGTCTAGATCGCAGTTTCTGAATCTGTGAATTGTTGAAGTGTAAATCATGAGCAAGAAAAATTATTTAAATTTAAAAAGTTTGGAATCTACATTGCAATATGAAAAACCTATCATTATGAGGCCTAGAGTATAGTCAGTTATAGAGCAGGTGGTAATACAGTAAACAAAGGACTTACTTTTTTTTTAAGCATTTTGCTCTTGGTAGTATACTTACCTACCTTCTTTCAAGTCTTGTTTTATTAATGAATTTGTCTAGATCATGTAAACTGCAGGGGATGTATCAGATAAATGATTTTTGTCCTTAAAATAGGAATTTAGGCCTTCTTCATTCTGCTGTTACCCGTGAAGTGGGATCTTAGACCTTTGCTGTCTCCTTTCTCAACATTGGAGTATCCTGAGGGCACCATGGGCAATATAGTTCAAATTTTTGATTCTGCTTTTATGAAGCTAGTTTAGACCTAAGTATGAGGAAATCATTTTACATGTTCAAAAATTTCCCTAAAAATATATTGTTTTATTGAAATGCTTGATTTAGAGAAAAAAAGTTGCTTCTGAATCTGAAACCAATCTTTTATTTCTATAATGCTTTGATGTGAGGTTTAATTTTGTCTCATATGCAAAGCCATAGAGACTACAGATAGAAGACTTCCCTTTATTTCAGGACAAGTTATATGAAAGGAAATGAATAGTTTTCTGATATGTGTGTGTTTTAGTTTACTAAACTAGTAAGACAATTTCAACTTCTTTGCCTATGATATAAGAAAAATTAATGCTTCAAAATTAGTGAAATTTTCTAAGTTTAATCATAAAATTGTTATCTCCAGGAATTTTTTTAGAGAAATTAGTCTATTATAATTTCTCAGTTTACTCCTTTGGTGGTTGTTGTAGTGACTATATTGTATCCTTTGAGTTTAAATTCTTTAACCCCTTAATGATACCTTTGCATTTTGAGAAACATCACTGGGTAAGCATTTCAAACTTGTGATTCCTTGTCTCCCTTTGTAATTGCCCTGAAAGAACTGATAGTATCTTCCTTATTTATAATTGTAATTATATATTTTTAAGTATAAGTCTTTTACTTCTGTTCATATTGGTAAAAATATTGATCCAATTATATGCTTCTCTGTTTCCTAAGTCATATTATGCTGATTTTTCTCATAATTAATTTTTTACATTTAATTGTAGGATAATTTTTAAATATAAACTTATTCTCTTTACAAAACTTTAGTGACCTCTCAGAAGTTTTACTTCTAAATAACTTCATTTCTTTTATATTTGCAGTGCTTGGAATTACAGTGTTGATGTTTTATTTTCTTTACTTTAATATTTAAATACTGATTGATAATTTGTTCTATTGTTATATATACTCACTATTATTAGCTTCTCAGTTTACATTTATTGTAGGTCATTTACTTATGCTCTTTTCTTATTTGTTTGTCATAACAAAGATGAATGCACTTGCTCACAAATGGTAGTGTACAGTTCTAGATATTAAATACAAAATTTCTCAAAGGTGGATCTTGAGACCAAATAATACACACCTTTCAAAATCTCTTTAAGTGATGATTTTCTATTAAATCTTCTATATTTGAACCCCACTCAAAAGACACATTGTCAGCCTTCTTTTTCTGTGCATAAAGTTGAAATCTGTCATAGTTTAAAATCTTTGTTGTGCTACTTTGATGAATAAAAAAAAAATACACATTTTTGGGTACTGCATGACCATGAAGCCTATGTAGTCCTGGGAGGAAAATCTGCGCACAATCAAAAAATGTTGAATAAAAATTACTGCTGTCCAGGGTACAAAATTACTCTATACTGTATGTTTTGATGAAATTTCTGAGTCATTTAATTTAACCTCACAAGAGACTTCAACAGTCATATAATGTTGTCACTGTTTGAAGCTTTCTGTTATCAGGCAGTTCTGTTAAAATTGCCTAATTAAAGGTATTCCAGTTCATTATTGGATAGAGTAAAAAATATCGAGACAAGACAAAAGTGGTGCTAAAGGTCTTATGTGAAGGGTAAAGAGGTGAGGGAATAATTGACTTTTACAGAATGAACTTGAGCCAGCAAGAAGGAAAAGGATAAAAGAAGCAAAAATAAAAGCACAACTTGGTGTGGGAGACAGAGTGGCCTATCATGAAATGTCACCATGTCAGTTTCTCCTGGCATCTGTGTCCTTACATATCATCTACATCTTTTGGGAGCCCCCAGGAAGTACCACATGAACTTTCCTAGGAATTATTGGGCAGTGTCCTGAAATATTGTGACTGAGAAGTCCAGCTAATTTCCTCAGCCATCATTGCTGTGCCTTACCTCCTATAGCTCTTCCACAACATTACCTGTGTTACTCCGTCATCTGAAATCATCATGTTTATGATGCGACATCTAATGACATATTTGGGGGTAAAATGTTGATTCCTTCAGTCTCCTATACATTTTTGTTAATCTATTTTTACAATTTATGAAATTAAATTCTGAACATAGGATTGTTTTTCATTATTCAATTTATTTGTCATTCTGTAGGCCCATCCATATTGAAAACTAATCATTTAATTACTATTCTACATCTTTTTCTACTATATGCCTCCCTGTTTTTTTTTTTGCTATGATCTCTTTCTTAATCTTCTATTAGAAGTGCACTGGAACTACTTGATTAATACTTTATATCGCTCTCAATTATGTTGTATGCTTTTCAGCTTTTTGATTTTTATTGTAATCTCTTATTGCTTTCTTTTATTTCCTCTACTTTACTATTAAATTGTACTTAACATTTAAATTTTATTTTTCAAGTAATTTTTAAGGATTCTGCTTTACAATTACTATGTATTTTAATCTTTTTGAGGGTTATTTTGCATGTAATATTAAACCAAGTTTTCTTCTTTGTCCTCTTGAAATAAGAACTTAATTCATTTTTAAAATTGTGTACCAAGTATTAGTGATACCAATTACTATGGTGAAATCTGTACATACATTTGTATATTTAGCTATGGTTTAGTATTTTAATTTTACTTTTTACAATTTCAAGGTTGTTAATAAATACCTTTAGATGTACAATTTTAACATCTTTTTGGTATTATGAAAAATTTTATGCCTATGAAATTAATTTATGCTTTGTGACCTAAGTGCTACCTTACTCATATGAATATTGATGTATTATCTTCTAGGTTTTTGTTTTGTTTTGCTTTGTATTTAATATATAAAACAAAATAGAGTCTACAGGGCCTACAGGGTCTCACTATGTAGACTGGATTCATAGTAATCCTGTTTACAGCCTCCCATGTGCTGAGATTATAGTGGCAGGCCACCATGCCCAGTCTCAATCATCTTTTCAGCTGGCCCTGGGTCTGCTTGTGCTTAAGTAGGTGCTTTAACTCACTGAGCTATTTGGCCAACCCCCTAGTTATTATTTATGTAATATTTTTATTTCTATTGTGTCGATCATTTTGTTTCCTATGATTTTTTGTTTGTTTGTTTTGGGTTAGTGTTTCACTATATAGTGCACTATATAGTGCTGGCCTTGAGCAACCTTATGTAGCAGAGACTGACCTCAAACTCATAGTGATTCTCTTGCTGGAGTTATTGACTTCTAGGATTACAGGCATGTGCCACCACACCTGAATTTTTAAAATGTTTTTTACTGTCTCTTTTTTAAAAAACTTACCCGGTTTAGAAACCTTCTTTGTAGTTATTTTTTCAATGTTTCATTAATGTGAACTTATTCTTGTTATAAATATAATTATTATTAATTAATTGTTCAATCTGCAATATTTTTAAGGGCCTTTACCTGTCTACTTTGTGTTCCATTTCTCTATTTGGCCTTTTCTTGAATGGAAAATATAACTTTTTCATTTCTTTATTTACTCTCTACTTGACCAGTATTTACAACTTTTCTTTCTACAAAAAGTGACATTGTGGCATACATTCTTAACTTGTAGTCATATAATGATTGGTAAGTTTAATTTTTCATTGATGTTGCAAGGGCCTCTTGTATTACATTTTCTTCTCTACTGACATGTGCTATTATTTTTGTGTATTATAATTACATCCAGAAAGTGAATCATATGAACAGACATCTATGCATATATGTATGTATATATATATATATATGTATATATGCAGTCATATATTGATACATTTACTAATTAGAATGTTCATTTTGCTGCATTTTTCCTATATCATCTGTCTTCCTGGTACGATGGATTTTTTTTTTTTTTCATAAAAAATTCTCTTTAGGAGACGGGTCTGATAGCTCAGTGGACTAAAGCGGCTTTTAGGCAGAGCACAGCCATGCTGGGGTTCCATCCCTGGTATGCCATGCCAGCTCTGCCCGCGGGGCACACTAAGACTGCCATTGCGACCAGGAGTGGTTGTGTGTGCCTGCAATCCCAGCACTTGGGAGGCTGAAAATTAGAGAATCACTACAAATTCAATCTACGTAGTGAGACCCTGTAGACTCCATAGACTCTGTCTTAATTACAGAAAAAAAAATTCTTTAAACATTTGAATCAACACACTATTGTCTTTTGGAGTCAATTTAATTCATTTGCTTTGTGTTTGGATTTTATAAACTTCAATATGATTTGCCTAGATTTTTTTTTGTTTGTTTTTTGAGGAACCTGGGATTGAACTCAGGCCTTTGTCAGGGAAGTACTTATTCCACTGAGCCATCTCCTGGGTCACGATTTGCCTAGATGTTTATAATTATTTTTATTAAAATTCATAGTGATTCTTGTTGACAGGTTTGAGAAGTCCTTAGCCAATAAACTGTTAAATCATCTAACTGCTCCATTCTCTTTGGCTTCTCTCTTTTTCTCATGAGTCTATATTTTACATTCTTTAGTCTTGCTATATCTCAGCATGAATATTTTCTTATGGTGTACATTCTAGTGTGATAAATCTCTCTACTTGACTCAATTTGTTACTCAATTCTCATTAATTTCTCAATTTCATTCATTGCATTTATTTCTAATTTCTAAAGTTTCTGTTCCATAATTTTTAATTTATTTGTAGTTTAGCAATAAAGTAACCAATCTTGAATATAATACATATGAAAGTTAAAATATGTGTCTTACATCTATTGCAGCTGGTGGACCTAAAATATTGTAATAGAAACTTTCTTTTTGGTCTCTAATTGTGTTAATTATCTCCACAAAATATGTGTCTCTTTGTTGGTAGTTTCAGGACAATCTTGCTCTGTTATATCCAGTAGTTTTGAGGAAGATAAAGAAGCAAAAGTGAGATAACTCCTGCAGGGTCAGTCAATAAATAGGAAAGCTAAGTTTTGATCAATGGTAATCTATCTGTTACCTAATACAGTATACTCTCTCCTGAATTATGCTGTAAAGTCTTTATGCCATAGTAAGAGAATTACTATTTGAAATGGCCCATTGAATACTATTTATTTTTCAAGATAAGCTACTGATATAGTGATTGTGATTGCAAACAAATGACTAGACAATATACTATCATATATTTAGAAACATTTTATGAATACTATAATAGCAAGCAAATATGATGGAATTTCTTACTTCATTCAAATATTAACCAGCATCACAACATGGTGATGTGCTACCGGGATTTTGTGCTACCGGGATTTTGTGCTACCGGGAATCAAACTCATGAACTTACGTTTGCCAAGCAGGCACTATCCTACAGAGCTATATCCTCAGGCCCCTGAGATTTTGTTAATGATAATTATTTATGTGGGTAGAGATGGCAGTTTATTATTCAAAGTATAAAGAGATATGTGGGAACAATAGACCTGTAAAATGTATAATTCAGATGAGAATGCCTACTTATTTAACAAATATATAGCTTATATCCTTCTACAGCATTAAAATACAAATATGAAGAAAATGTGTATACTTTTATTTTATATATACTTACATGTTGAATGTTTGAATTCTAACTTGTAAACTACTGTCGACATTAACTCCAATTTACATCATACAAAATTTATAGCTCAGTGAGTTTAACTACCATGACATATTTACTCAACAAGTAGATGATGGACCCAGGAGCCAATCTCTGTTCTCCTTTGGAAAGGCAGTCTGTTCTCAACCCAGTGCTTATAGCTTTAAAAAAAAAAGTAACAATGTATGGTTAAATGAGAGCCTCAAAATCTGAGAACATTTTAAAATTGAATTTGAATAACAAATGGCGGATGAGTGAAGTGCATTTTGGAATTCTTTAGTTGAATTTAAAAGGAATTTAGTCACTGAACTTTTTTCCACAATTTAATATTTCAAAGCTGATTTTAACTTGATCTCCTTCCCATAGAGATGTGCAAAAAATACAGTTTTACTCAGCCTCATCACCTGAGAAGTTTTCCAGGCAGAATGATTTTACTAAATATAATAAGACCATTTATGATGTAGTGCTCCACTTGAGTGGTGCACTGCCACTTGGAATTAGTTCAAGTCAGTCTTTACCTGCGGATGACACTGAAAGGGTGATTCAGCTGCATTTTCAATATTGTTCACTTCTGGATTTTCTCAAGTAAGTGCATGAATACACAAACCTAGTATGTGATTACAACTTCAATAGCTAAGTGGGTGTGTGCATGGATGGATGGATAGATGATATATAGATAAATAGATGATAGATAATTTTTGAAATCATTCATATTTTTAGTAAATAGTTATACACACTGTAGTATGTGACACAGTAAAATATACACTCGTTAGTAAGGAATAAGCATTCCATGAACATTTAGATTTATCCTCTAAAGGAATCATTCTCAAAAATTTTATGCATATAAATCATTAGGAGTACTTATTGAATCATTTTTTTCTGGCCCTTAAAATATTTATTATTTAATTTGCATTTATAGCAAGTGACTAGGTAATACAAATAGTTCTGATCCATGAATTTAATTTGCAAATTCTCATCTAAGTCATATATATCATACAATTTCACACAACAAAAAGGAATGAATCTAATAAGCTTTATTCCTTAAAATAGTGTTGGCATAATCTCATGTTGTTGATAGTTTCATTTTTGTAACTAAATTTTTTAATATTAAAATAATCAGCAGATGAAAAGTTCCAACATGGTTGATATGATCTGTACATAAAATTCATCGTGTTCCTCTGCAGAGCTTAAATTGCAAATGGCTACGAAAACCAAGCACTCATTAAGCTTCAGAAGAGAGTGTTGCTGAACATATTTTGCTTATTTGGCCTCTCTTTGTTCACCGAAATACCCCATACCTTTAGGAAGTTCTTTCATCCAACCTTCCTGTTACTTAACCATTGACATAGCACCTTACTATACTGTGATAGGGCAGTATGCCTAACTGCCCTATCACTCTTGCTGTCACTCTCACTCTCCACAGTTACTTTGTGCTACGTGGAATCAAACTCATGAACTCATGCTTGCCAGGTGGGCACTGTCCTGCTGAGCTATATCCTCAGGCCCCTGACATTTTGTTAATGATAATTATTTATGTAATAGGGTTAATGTCTTTTGAAATATAATAATGTGCTTTTCTCTTTTACTTCCTTGTCTGTGGAATCTGCCTGGTAGTTAGCTAAGTATATTTATTTATCTGCCTTAGCAGGCATGGGTTTGTAGGACAGGAAGTCTCCTCGAGCAGCAATGTTAATGAAAGATTTGATGTTCAGGTTTTTTCTGCAATCAGAATTTCTCAGACCCTAGAAATAGTAAATATTAAACGTTGGACATAGTATTAAGCCATTTTAATTTATTTGACTCTCTTAATTATAGTAATGGTTCAAACTGGCTAGAGTTTCTTATGGCTTAGAATGTTGCTGGGATTTTCTAAGTCATTGATGGAGACCAATTGAAAACCCAGGCAACCAGTCATGGAGATTGATACCATGAAACATTAGTGTGGGAGAGTTGAAAAGGCAGAAAAGTGGCAGATGATTGGCCCTGAAGCTACAATATGAATGACAAAGATTTGAAAATTGGGATGTGCCTGAATGAGTGATGGGGGGTCTATTCATTTTTAGTGAGGCTAAAAGACATAGCATTCCTATTTCAAGCATCAGTGACATATAGACAGATGACAAATATGGTGTAAACATAGAGAGTGGACATTGTTAAAAAGATCAAAGATTGAGACAGACACTCCCTGCTATGGGGCAGACCTCAAGACAAAAGAGGAAACAAATGTAGCCACACACCTCCCTAGCAATGGGCACCAGGTATTGATGTTCTAAATAGGTATCCATCATCTTGAAAGAGCCTGAATGAATCAGTAATGTAACCCCCAACAGGAAGAGACACTCTCCAGTACTCATGCCCCCTTGCTCTGTGATTGGCTTCCCCATTTTGATACTGGTAAAATTAATCAATTTTACTTGAGCGATGGTGCTTGTAATCTCATTGGTTGACCATAGTATCATCCCACCTTATGCCCACCTAAAAGAGTTCCCATGTTCTCCACCATCTTAGACCTGCCTCACTGCATGGTTTTCCTCTTTTAAAGTCCCTGGAAGAGACAGCTTCCCAGGGACCACCTGTTTGGGGGCCCCCATCCTGTCCCTCTCTAGGACAGAAGCTTTCTTTTCCCAGATAAATATATTCTGCTCATAAAAAAAAGATCAGGCATACAGAAAAACAATTAAAAATAGAGTATCAGTATTTATCAATTATGTCCTTTTGTTTATTAAATAGAATCAGAACTTTACTGAAAATTTTAAGTTCAAAACAGAAGGTTTGGGGGCCGGGGAGATGGCTCAGTGGAATAGGCGCTTCCCTGGCAAGCGCAAGGGCCTGAGTTCAATCCCTGGTTCCGCAAAAAACAAAACAAAACAAAACAAAACAAAACAGAAGGTATGTGAATTTTCTTTTCATTTTTTACTTCCCAGGTACGGGGCAGACATCAAGACAAAAGAGGAAACAAATATAGCCACATACTTCCCTAAAAATGGGCACCAGGGATTGATATTCTAAATAGGTATCATTCAGGCTTTTTTGATCCTTAAAGATTGATTTAATGTAAACCAAGTAACTCAATGAGATTGAAATTCAGATAAATTTATTTCAGAGGTTATTTATATGCTTAAAATATAGTGTAATATTAACTAGAACCCAAAGAATTGGAATACTTACATAAATTCTTATTTTATACATTATGGAAGTTAAAAAAATTTCATGAGAGTATTATTAAATTCTTTAGTACTTATAACTGTTGTATTATGTCTGTAGCATTTGTATTGACATAGCTCCCAGTAGTGTTGACATTCACATGAATTGTTTCTATTTTGACATTTTATGATAGACAATAAAAAAAATGGAAGATTGATTTTGACATTAAAGCCAATTCATTCAACCTTATTTGCTCTCTATCAGCAAATACACACAAATCAAGATATGTTGAGTATGATAAAATAATTTAACATTTAGAAAGTGGCACCATGGTCAATAAAACTAGATCATTACTACAAGATATGTGCATTTGTTTCATTATGGAAATAGATATATTAAATTTAAAATAGTCATAAATACTATTAGTTTCCCCACTGAAATTTGATGACAGGGTAAATTAGAGCTGTTGTACAAATGAACTGCACACAATATGCATAAGTGAGAATTTCATTTTTGAATACTAATTAAATTTAAAATTTTTTTGAAGATGCAATAAATCATTGTATCTGCTTAACATCACTAGCCTTCTGAATATCAAATGCTTAGACAAAAGACAGAACAGGTATTTTCCATCAATCGTTGATATGCTAAACTTAAAATCCCTGTAGAATGTGAAAATAATAAAAGATAAAAAATAGAAATAAACAGTTACACATGTTTAAACAGAAATTTAGAAATCTAACCATATACAACTTTGTAGCAGGACAGTCCTATGATGTTTTTTTCTTGTCTCTTTTTTTTTTTTTTTTTACCTATTTTTGAACTATTTACTATATATTTCAACTATTTACTAAATATTCAACTATGAAAAATAAACAGTTTGGGGCCCAGGGAGATAGCTCAGTAGAATAAGTACTTGCCTGGCAAGTGCAGGGTCCTGAGTTCAATTCCCACTACACCCCCCACCCCTCGCAAAAAAAGAAAAGTAAATAGTTTAATCAAATCAATTGCCAAAGATAGTTTTCTGTAAAAGTACTGATTGTTCACAAGATCTATTGAAGACATAAATGTTAATACTGTATTATGGACTGAAAGCAGCATCAACATTTAAAATGAAAAAGTATTTTTTTATCGTCAACTTTTTCCCAGGTTTACTCAGCTGCACACTATAAATACTCCAGTGCTTAGACTCAGAGACTCTTATTTTAATTACTGTTTTATAGTGTTCTTTAGGGTTTCTTTTGAATTTGATAGAAATGATCACTCCCATCTGAAATCCTGTCTTCGCTTTGGTTACAAGAGCGTGTTTCAATTTCTTCATATGTTTGTGTTTTCTTTGATTCACTTTATAGAATCTCAGCTTTATATGGATATCATCTTACTGCATTCTTATGTAAGATTTAGATTGATTATTCTTGCTGAAGAGTACCATTATATCAAAATAAATTCTATGTAATATTAAAGTGATTCAAATATAATGACAGAAGATAAGATAATGTTTGTACTTAGGCAAGATCTTTCCAGTTGCTTAGACTGGCCCAGGACCACATCAAACTTAACAGCTCTGGAACTATGCCTATGATTTCCACTCCTACAAAAGTTTCCTTCTTCATTTCACTGGGTAATTCACCTCTCCTATCTTCAGGGTCTGAGTCATGCCTTTCCTTTTCCTCATCTCTTAGTAATTACAAATGTGAACTACTGTAAGTGCCTACTGAGTTGAACACAACATATAGAATTCTTTTCTGTTAACTGATGTATTGGTGAATTGCGCTAAATTAGTCTTCACTAAATTAGTTATACTTAACTAAATTAGTCTTCACTAAATTAGTGTCTTCACTAAATTAGTTATACTTAACATCTAAATAAATCTTCATTTGGAAACAGTTGGCACAAAATAGTACTAGATTTCTGCATAATGCTTTTTGTAGTGATTAATATTAATATGATGAATTTGAATAATTCAAAAATTTAATAATGAAACAATACATATTTTAAGCGTGGATAATTATATACATATGAATATATGCAAAACATATATTGCATAATATAAATAGATTTGGACTGCTTTGTGTATACTACCATAAATTTACATAATAAAAAGTTTCAGTGCTTTTGGATAATTCTTTTGTAAAAAAGAATCTTTTAGATTGCTTCATATTGGAGTTTTTTTTTTTCACTTTTAGGCATGTGTAGTGATAAGCATTCAGTAAATATTAGATGACTAATTAGTTATTAGATGCATTGTTATATTCAAACTCTTAGATTTTTCTCAATTTTGTAATGTTATAACATCAATTAAAGGTTTACTGCATTGACTAGAAAGACCAAGGCATAGTTCTGTTTATTTAGTTACAGAGGGCCAGCCAAATAACTCAGTGGATTAAAGTGCCTGCAACCAGGCACAGGGGCTGCGGTTCAATGTCCGGGCCTGCCATGCCCGGGGGCTCGCTGAAAAGGCAATTGAGACTGGGCCTGGTGGCATGTGCCTATAATCCCAGGTCTTGGGAGGCTGTAAACAGGTAGATCACTACGAGTCCTATCTACATACTGAGACCCTCAACATACTGAGGACCCATTCCCTAAAATATGAAAAAAAAAAAAAGTTACATACAAAGGTAGCGAAGGGGCTGGTCCGATAACTCAGTGGACTAAAGCACCTGCTTAGGCAGAACACAGCAGCTGCAATTCGATCCCCAGGCCTGCGCCCTAGGGGCGCCCTTAGGTGACTATTGAGACTGGGCGTGGTGGCATGTGTCTGTAATCCTAGCACTTGGGAAGCTGAAAACAGGAGAATGGCTACGAGTCTGATCTACGTATTGAGACCCTGTAGACTCTGTAGACCCTGTCCTAAATATGGAAAAAATAAGAAGTGAATAAAGAAATAAATAAAAAGGTGGATAAGTATGGTTTAGGCACTTAGTAAGTTCAGTATCATCTAGTTCTCTAAAGGAAACATGTGCATATTTAATTATTAGGGGATTTTAAAACTAATTATATAAATTTTAAACTTGCAAATTAAGATCCAACAAATATGAAAGGAATAGCATTATTAATTTCACTAAATGTCAGAGTGCTTGTGTATTATAGCTTTATAACTTGGTCTTTTCTCTTTCAATTTTAGTACTAAAGGAGGATGTATTTCTCATATAATGCCAGAATTTCTGCTTGAACTACGGGATTATAAGAAATGGCTTGAAATTTCAGTAAGAGAAAATAATTTGTAGGAATAATCTATACAGTTATTATTGAATTTAGTCATATTTGGTCTTTCTCAGAAACTTTCATCATAGAGCCCTTATATTTTGCATGTGAAATATACTAAAGGTGTAATCTTTGAAAAGTCTATATTTTCTTCTTGTGTACATAAGATCCCAAGGCAAAAATAATTACATAACTTTCCTAAAATATGTAACAATTGCTACTTAAGGAAAATTAACAAATGAATAATGATGTAGGCTTATGTTAATTTTGTCCTTAAAGTGAAATTATGGAATATATATATTCAAAAGAATGAATTCCAGGTGGCAATTCTACCGCCTGCCAGTTTCTCTCCTTAAGAGAAAATAGAGAGAAATTAAGCAAGAAATATGTAAGTTTCTTAAGGTAGGGATTTCATTTTTGAAAAGTTTTTCTTTTTTATGAGCAGAGTATATTTATTGGGGGAAAGAAAGCTCCTCTCCTAGAGTGGGACAAGAGGGGGGCCCAAGAGGGTTGGCCCCTGAAAAGTTTTTTAAAGGGAAATTTTTTAGAAGATCTTGAAGTCCTTGAGGTAAATACTCCTTAGCTGTGTTGCTCTCCCTGTGCTTACTACATGACATGAGGAGAGCCAGTTGTCTGTGTTTGGCATAATGATGAATTCCTTTGTCCTAATTCAAAAAGAGTGTTTTTATCAGGTCTCAAGGCTCAGTAGAGGTCTGCATCTTGTAACATCACTTCTACTACTGAGGGATCTAAGAGATGTACTGAATAAATAAATCCATAACCTAAATAAGATTGTATGCTCCAGAAAAATTCCTGCAGCAATGATTTCTACTATTGGCACACAAAAAAGCACGGCTCTTGATGTGGATTCTGCATACAGAGCAACCCAGTGCCTTATGTGTTAAAGAAACCCCCCTTTTCTTTCCTTTTTTTTTGAATTAAAACTCTTTTTTTTAAATTGCAGCTCTTAATGAATAGCTAAAAAGGGCATGCACATGCACATATTTTGTATTTAAAAAATCATATGCTAAATACTTTAAATTTTATAATTACATTTTCTTTGAAGTTGAATTTATGTTGTAACCTTTTTATTTTTTAAAGTCCTCCAATAATACTGCATATATGGGTTCATCTATACCTAAGGGAAAATGTCCTTTTATTATTGATATGAACAAATTTGAAGCCTGGAGTAAACGGGCATGGACAGATATATTCCTTCAGATTTACAAGGTAATATTTCCATGTTACTTCATAACATGTCTTTGGTTTATTTTCATTATAGTATTCTATTTAATATATAGACAGTGCTTCTCTAAAATATTTTAAAACACAGTACCTTGAATAAGGCATTTCTTTCTTCCATGTGGAAATATTGAAAATGAATGATTCAGAAATAGGGTATGGCTCTTCCATTCACAGTACTAAGCTTTTTCTCCATGGATTTAATTTCTCAGAATGAAGATCAGAAAAGGAAGTAGTAGAGGGCAAGAAAATATATTTCATTGATGTCTCCTGGAAAATGCCTGATTTCGATTTCATATTCCACTTGATGGAGTTTAGTTGAAAAATACTATAATTTCTAATACTGATAGCTAAAAAAATTATGTTGCTAAATGCACAAACTAAATAATGCATACCAATGAAAGTTATATTCTCAATTTTAATTTACAGTGGGTTTCCTTTAAAGATATTCACTAGGGGGCCAGCCAGATAGCTCATTGGATTAAAGTGCCTGCTTAGGTAGACACAGGAGCCAGAGATTTGAACCCCCGCCTGCCATGCCAGCCCTGCTTCAGGGGTGCACTGAGATAGTGATTGAGACTGGGTGTGGTGGCACATTCCTGTAATCCCAGTTCTTGAATGGCTGAAAACAGGAAGGATCACTACAAGTCTGATCTGTGTAGTGAGATCCTGTAGACCCTTACTGAATATATTAAAAAAATAAAATAATAAAGATATTCACTAGGATTCATATAATTATAGACAAGGTGAGGTTTTGATAAGGTTCTCCAGTTTACTTCAAGCCAAATTATACTTCTGGGTATATTAACACAACAAAATCATACTTTTAAACTTTATTTCATGTATAAAAATATGACTCAAAGACACATGTTAATGTAAGATAAGGCAAACTATATTCAGGATCATAATGATAGCTCACTATAATGGCATTTTGCTGCAGAGAAAGACAAACTGAGGTCTCAGTAGAAAAGGGAAAATGTTAAACCAAGGAGGAGAGTAAGAGTATGCAGAATACAAAATGACAGAAACCATGAGAAGTAAGGGAACATTTCAGTGAAGCCAACCTAAAGGGTTTCTTGCTGAAAACATGCTAGAGTAAGCAAATAACATTTGGGGAAAGTTGAAGGGTGAGGACTTAAGTTAGAAAGGTGAGTAGATAGAATATGGATTTCATGCTAAACTAAACAAGGATGTTTTTTATTTTATCTTGAGCTTGTTACAGAACTGTTTAAAGATTTAAAACTCAAGGATAACATGGAAAGATTTCAATTCTAGAGGCATCACTTTGGTAGATTATAGTAAAAAGAAACTACTGTGGGATGTATTTAAGTGTCGGGTTCTGTGACTCACAGTAGGATTCTGATGGTATTGGGAATGATGAAAACGGACATCTTTCAAAAAAGTTAGGAGTAGAAGTCAATAGTGTTTGCTGAAGGGCTAGAATGTTGGAATTGGTAAGAGAGAAGTCATCCTACTCTGCCATAAGCAAAGATAACCTTGAGTCATTTGTAGACAAATGGATGTAATTTGAGAACATAATATTAAGTGAAGTAAGTCAGATACACAAGCTTAAATACTGCATAGTATCTCTTGTATGAGAAATAATATATATGGAGAGAATCTCTATTTCAAATAATTCTCAAAATTATCTGTTGTTTCAATTAAAATTTATGATAAAAGCTAATTTGTAGTATTTATGCTATCATTCTTTTTGTTCACTGAAAATAATTTCTTTTACTTTTTTATTTCTTGGTTAGAGAAAATCTTTGTCTATGATGTGACTCAGAGTAACATTTTCACCATTCTTTTAAGAGCATTATACACAGTGCATAACCATTGTTATTTTTTAATTATTTCATTATGAAACTTTCTTTCACTTTTTTATTGAAGAACGAGTTTTTTCTATATTTTCTTTATTAGTATGCAGTTGTATTACATTGAAAGAAAAACGAAAAAGAATGAAAATGGATTTCATGCTTTAGTACTAAATAGAGTTTAACTGTAGTCATTGAGAGACCATGAAAGGAGAAAGAATATAATTTAATGGGGTCCAGCATGTATGACAGGCCAAGATAATTAAACAATTATTTTTGCTTTTGCTATGTTTGATGGCCTACATGATCACCAGGTAAGTATCCTTTATTTAGGAGAGACAGGCAACACAATTTTGGGATTTTTGAAACTTATTTTACAGTAAAGTTACCAGAATGGATAAGATCATGTAAAGAACTTTATTTATTCACATATTTTATGTGTGAAGCATAGGTGAATCTAGGGATCATACTGAATCAGTAGTGAATTGACAAATTGACAAATTTAGATTGTGTGTCATTTGTTCCCTTCTGCTTGTTACAATTGGATGGCTAATTGTAACTACTAATTCCAGCACTGGGATTACAGGTGTGTGCCACCACACCCAGTCTCCATGGCTGGCTCAGTGTGCCTGGGGACAGGGCTGGCACATCAGTTAGTTCAGGGTATCTAACCCTGGTCCCTGTACTTGTCTAAGCAAGTGCTTAGTCCCCTGAACTATCTCACTGGTCCTATACATTTCTTCTAGTCAATGTCATCTAGCCTATTTAAGATGATTCTTAGGAAGAAATCCAAGTATTTAAATTGTCTAGAAAATCTAGAGCTTATGGACAATTTAATAATGAAAATTACTGGGCCAGGAAGATAGCTCAGTAGAATAAGTGCTTGCCTGACAAGCGCAAGGGCCTGAGTTCAATTCCCAGTTCCTCAAAAACAAAGGAAAAATTATTATTTGTTCTGTATGCTAAATAAAATAGCACATAATTAAATTGTCATTAAGAAATAAACAAAATGACACATGTGGAGTTGTACTCAATATATGTAAGTATATATACTAAAAATAATTGTTCATGGTTACTTTTGATTCTTCCATAAACTATATTGTTTTTATTTTATCTCATTATAGTGTGTTTTTAGTATAGGGTCTACAAGGTCTCACTACACAGACTGAACTCATCGAGATTCTCCTATTTTCAGCCTCCCAAGCACTGGGATTACAGGTGCTCGCTACCATGTCCAGTCTCAATTGCTATCTCAGCATGCCCCTGGTGGGGTCAGCACGGCACACCAGGGATCAAACCCTGGCCCCTGTGTCTGCATAAGCAGGCATTTTAGTCTGTTGAACTATCTGGCTGGCCCCATATACTGTATTGTGATATTGCCAATAAATCTTTTCTGTCACATGAACAATCTTCAGACTGTCAGATTTCTTTAGTTAAACCTTTAACAAAATAACACAGATCACTAAAATCCATTTACTTAAATTTTATCAATTAGCTGAAAGAAGCAAAAAGACATTTTGTCCTCTGTAATTCTCATTGCATCATTTCAACTCCTGCTTTGTCTGGTTTTTATGTTACTAATAATAGTACTTTCCCAGGTTATATTTGATTTGAATGTGAGGAGATCTTATACTGTGTGTATGTTTTTATTCCTTATTTCATTTTCTAGAATTTAATTTTAAGTATCTCATTTGTAGGTAGACCTTGTGTTGTTTAGAGAGTAGAGGTGATAGATAACAGAAAAATCCTGAGCCAATTCAAGTGATACACTCAAACATTTATCTCATCCAATATATTCAGATATCTCATCATTTGGTATTCCCTAGTAAAGGAACAGAGTCATTTTTGAAGGCTTTTGGTTCTGTTTTTATGGTACATAACATTTTAAACTTTGGAGGTTTAGATCATATAACTGCCAGAATTAAAAACGAAAGAAAGCAGTGATATAATTCCATCAAAATGTCAAAGTGATATAATTTACATTTGTGGGTGGCTATTCTTGTTAGACATATGCCAGAAAAGTACTCAACATTGACTGATGGATTTTTTAAGTAAAATTTCAAAATTATTCTCATAGTAGGAAAACAGAACAGTTTTGAGGTCCTCATAAGTATCTTAATACTTTTTAAACTGCAGGTATTTAAGACATAGGATGTCTAATATATAAAGAAATAAAGCACCTTTTTCCAAACCTATAATAAATATAACTGAATATGAATGTACTTGTATTAGATTGGATCATTCTAAAAGCATAGTATGAGATGAGCATCAGGAACTGTTTCAGAGGTGATTGCAAGAAACAAGAGTAGCAGAGTTGGAAATTTAAACAGTATACGATGAGGCTAAGAACAGAGATGCTTTCAAGTAGGTTTTGTGTTAGGTAACTGTGGCTCAAGCCTACCACATTTTAATGGATGACTCTGTAGAACATATCTGATGTGTATTGCATCTGAATGATAAGGAATAGAGAGTATTTAGGTACCAATTGCATGGCTGTCATTGAAGGGAGGCTGCTTCTTGTGGGTTACCTGCACTCCCATATGCCAGAAATAAGTATCCCTCCAAAGGTACTTGTATATGTTCACAATAAAGACCCTTCATAATGTGGAAGTGAATGCTGGATATATAAGAACAAGATAACAATAGTATTTTATAGTATGCATCAGACAAGTTTGGTTTGTTTTTGGTTTTTTTCGTTTTATTTTTTGGCAGAACCGGTGATTGAACTCAGACCCTTGCGCTTGCCAGGGAAGCACTTATTCCATTGAGCCATCTCTCTGGCCCCTCAAATTGTGGTCTTCATACTCATGCCAGGGGAATTCTGTCTATTAATGGTTTGTGATGACTTGTGCTGTGTAGTACTATAATATAAGCCAATCCTCTGACTCCTGAGTACATTTTTAATGTTGTGAAAAGATCACACACACACA